GTTCAATTTGTAACAATGAAATTGGGGGTCACCACACCATGAGGAACTGTATAAAGGGTCGCGGCATTAGGAAGGTTGAGAACCACTGTTATAAAGGAAATATATAGCTCTAACACTCATCAACAAGGTACATAGTAGGTATTTGATGAAAATGGTTTAATTGAATAAAATGTTATATATGTTTTTAAATGTAACTTTTATGAGATATAATTCCATAGCATCTACTTCACCCCCTTCAGGTGTGTAATTTGATGGCGTTTAGCATATTCACGGAGTTGTGCAACCACCACTACAACCACCATCAGGCCGACTCTATCGCCCAGGAGGACAGCGCATGCCGGCGGTCAGTGCCGACTCCCCAACTCTCCCGGCCACGGGCAGCCCCCCTCTATTTCCTGCGTCCGTGGACTGTGTACTCTGGACATTCACACACGTGGAATCCCACGATACAGGCTCCCTCGTGTCTTCCTTCTTTCATTTAATTTCTGCCGGGAAATGTAAACTCAACATTAAACATCACGCTTACACCAGCTTCACAGGTCACGGTTTTGCTGTTATAGGAATTCCTGCTCTTGGGAAGCCTTGTTTTGTCCAGCTGGACGCCGCTCAGGAGATGGCTGCTCAGCATCGGAGAGGATCACAGGCCTAGGAGAGGCCTCCTCCGCTGCCGGCCAATCTCGCAGGGGAAGTTGGTGTGGTTTTGTTTGCGTGTTTGTTTGTGGGGGGTGGGGGAGCAGTTTGGTTTTTATCCAGGAAGCCATGCAGTTTCTCACACCCCGCTCCTGGGTTGATAGGAGGAGAAACGGTGTCCAAGTGCCTACGGGTCAACAGGAGGCACCTGTTACCACTGTTAATCATCAAAACCCCATTGCCTCCCTTGAGGGCGTCCACTCCACCTCCCGGGAAGCACCGGGGCTGTGCCAACCTTCCCCGCTGCCAGGAGGCTGCAGTGTCCAGCCCGGGACTCGCAGACCAAGGCCACGCTGACCCAGGGCGATCCCCGCAGAACACGATTCGGATCCAATCAGCGACCTGCTTGCTGTTCTAGTTCTGAAAAGCAGTTCTCCTTCTTTAAAGCATTTATTTGTTCAGAGCGAACACCTGCTCATCCTACCGATGTCAGGAGCAAGAGGGTAGGTGAGGCCCTTCCCGCATCCCTCGAACCCGTAACCCTCCTTAGCCCAGACATTTCTCCGGTCTGCTGTCTCCTGTCATTGTCCCTGTGCGCACCGTTCTGCGCCTGGACGCTTCTCCTGTGAACGGCAACGGTTGCCCCGGCGCACACCGAGGCCTCTTCTTGCTGCTGATGCACAGCGTCCCCTCGACCGGACCGGAGGCACCGGGACCACCTCGCTCTCCCCGCGGG